TTTTTTATATAAAAACACACTAAATATTTGCTGTATCTTTACTATGCAGCTTGAATTTATAATAGTACAGTTAACAAAACATTGAATTATAATGTCCCCACTTATTCTTTTTTTATTATTCTTTGTATTTCTGTGGTAGTAGTTTAAATGTCTCATCTTTTAATTCTGCTCTTATTTTTTTGTTTCTTTATTTTCCTTAGTGATTCTAGCTAAATATTTGTCAATTTTGTTTTGTTTTTATTTTCAAAAAGTCAGCTATTCATTTAATTTTGTTCTATTTCAATTATTTATTCTCTGATCTTTGTTTTTCTTCCTTCTGGTAACTATGAGCTTAGTTTCTTCTTTTTTCTAGTTATTGGGGGGAGGTGCTACTAGTAAGTTAGGTTGTTTAAGGTTTTTCTACTTTCCTAACATTTGTAACTGCTTTTGAAACATCCCATCAATTTTCATTATGTTGAGTTTTCATTTGAATGTGTTTCAAACTATTTTTATCTCCTTTTGATTTTTCTTTGACCAATTGGTTGTTCAGGAGTATGTTGTATAGATTTGCGTTCTAACCTATGATAAATCCTGGATATTTTTTCTTTTTTTCTTTTTTTTTCTAAAAAATATATTTTATTGATTTTTTACAGAGAGGAAGGGAGAGGGATAGAGAGTTAGAAACATCAATGAGAGAGAACCATCAATTCAGCTGCCTCCTGCACAGCTCCTACTGGGGATGTGCCTGCAACCAAGGTACGTGCCCTTGACCAGAATCAAACCTGGGACCTTTGAGTCCACAGGCCTGACGCTCTATCCACTGAGCCAAACTGGTCAGGGCTCCAGTCCATTTTAATCTGAAATAAGTATAGGCACCACCACTTTATTTCAGTTTCTACTTGCCTCAGATATTCTCCTATTCACCTGTGTTGAACTTATGTGTCTCCTTAAGGGTGAAATAAGTATCTTGAAAGAAAGCCATCATAACATTCCAGCATTGCGTGTTTCAGAGAGCTTATAAGTTGGTGAATACAAGCCTATACTGGCAGGAAGAGGCACTACAACTCCACCAGGACAAAGGTTCCTGCCCTCAGGACCCTCACAAACTCCAACCTATCTATCTCTTCATCTGTTTCCTTTATCATATTCTTTAAAAAACTGGTAAGTGTACTAAGTATTTCCTTGAGTTCTGTGACCCACTCTTGATAGCTAATGGAGCCTGAGAAGAGGGTTGTGGGAATACTGATTTGTAGTCAAGTTGGACAGAAGTTGTGAATACCCAGTGGACCTGCACCTTGGGACTGGAATCTGAAGATGGGACTGTGCCCTTTACCAGTGGGATAGGACTATATTCAGGTGGACAGTGTCAGAATGAGTTCTACTGTAGGCCACCCTGCTGGTGTTCTGGACTTGTTCATTGAAGGGAAAACACCCACACAACTGTGTTAAAACAAAGAAAGACTGGATTGTTACTAATACACCTGGGTTATCTGAAATGTCTTCCTCTTCTCCTTCTCTTTCTTCTTGGCAAGTATCTCCCACCAGATTTTAGAACAGGCAGCTGGAAGGAATGATGTGGGGGAAATGCCAGGCATGATAGACTTAGTGATCTCAGCTGCCCTTCTCTCTCTAATCAATGGGTTAGAGATGGATTGCCCACTCTACAGATGTTCAAAGGTGGGATTAGGGTTGAACTAGGTGAGGAACATGAGGCACCTAGAGCGAAAGAATGTAAGGACTCCCTCACTCTCAAGTACACTTACATCCTGAGTGCCTCTCTGGTCTTAGCCTCTTCCTCGCCCTGGGTGGGACCTGTGAGTCATTGGCTCTCTCTGGTTTCTCTAAAGAGATGTGTGTATTCATCTTTTCTCAGTTTATTCAGAAAAAGGCTAGAATTTTCCGAATGAAATATAAGTTAGGAAACTGGCAGGAAAGCCTAAGAATAACAGCTTACAGTGACAATTCATTAGGGCCCTGGCTAGTCACCTCAGTTGGTATTGTCTTAATATGCCAAGGTTGGGGATTTAAGGTTGGGGATCAGGGAATGAATTCATAAATAAGTGAAACAACAAATCAGATCTCTCTCTCTCTCTCTCTCTCTCTCTCTCTCTCCTTCCCTCCCTTTCTTCCTCTCTATCTAAAATTGATAAATAAAAATTAAAAAGGAAAGGACA